CCCGTCCCCTCTCTGTCATCATAGGTGCATCGAACTAATATAACTTCGCCCAAAGTAAATAATGCTATTAAATTTATTGTTTTGATTATGATGTTTTATGTACATTTTGTAACATTTCATAATATTAATTATAAAACTAATCAATACTTCAAAATGAACTCTTGTGTGGAATTGTATATAAATGCGCAACAATTAAATGTTTGTCTTATCGTGGGTTTCTGAATCCAAAATCATAATATTGTTAACTCTGTTTTGTCTATAGATAATACAAGGAAAGATTTGGATCTTAGAAACCAACGGTTATTAATTTTAATATTAGAATGAAAGTCGTTAGTAGTTGTTTAAAGAATTGTGTCACATAAAGCAACAGTAAACAACATGCCAGTTGTAAGTTTCCGTTCTGACATAATTTTTTATTACTCGCTATAATTGAAAGACACATTGCGATGTACTGAAGGACAGATAAGCGATTTATATATAGAACACGAGAAAACTGTGGAAATGCTAAAATTGGAATCGACAGAACAGTTTTGTTGGAGACTAGCGGCAGGATATTACGGAGATGGGGACGAAGTACATTCTCTCTAGGGTTGATGCATTATAAAATCAATATGTACACAAAGTAACCTCTGAATAATAAATTTACAAGAATTTTGCAATTTTACATCCATTTTATTATCATATAGGTTTATGTCGATTTTGGTAGTACAAAAATTGCAATGAATTTAAACAAAATAATCATAACGTGTACAATCAAAAAAAGTTACCAAGAGTCTCTACTTCATTGGGGATAATAATTATTCGTTTTTAAAAGAGAAACAGAAAGATGCAATAACACAAAAGGGCAATGCTGACAGCCCTATAAAGAAGAAAGCTTTGAATGGCGAAGCCTGAGGACTGTCAATTGATTGTCGCGAGCACGCAGCCGCCGCGTGCCGGACCTCGAGCATCTGCCAACTAACTAACTATGTGTTTACATCGACGAATATTATTTTATATAAGGGTACATGAATATGTGCTTTCGTTGCCTCAAACAAATCGAACAGTCAGTTTAACTTAGATCTTAGGCCCGCGTAGATTAGCTTTGTCGGTGGTCTTGTTGTCACTCAAAATGTTGGCTGTACGCTGACTGTTTGTCCGTGTCTGGTGGTTCTTAAGACTTGAGGGATAGGCAGTCTTTTGTGTCTTCTGTTTATGTATAGCAAGTGTTTGTTGGTTTCGTATATTCCTTATATATCGGCTTAATATGTCTTTAATGTAAATGGTAGCTATGTATGTACTTATGTACTATACTATATGACTAAGTATGATTAAAGATATACTTTACTTATATCTTAAGTGTTATTGCCTTTGCCGAATTGTTTAGTGTTCGCTTGATAGTAATTTCGCTGATAGATTATTTACAGTAACAACTGTTGTGACTCATGTTAACTCACGTTAACGAGCGGAATTTGTCAATAAATTATGTCATTAAGTTATTATAATTTTTATTCATTAATTTATACGATTAGTATTTTTTAATTAATAGAAATTTCTTAATTCAGTCCATAATCAAATCAAACGACGCACTTTAACTAATCAATAAGACAATCCAACAGAGTACACAAGTAAAATGTGTCACTTAGCAAATAGCAGAAGGTCAACCTCTCCATTACACTACCACCTGTAATAATGGCGTGTACACACCGAGTGTTTGCACGCGCCGCCCACCGCTGACCGCCCGCCGCCGCCTGCCGCCGCCCGCCCAATGTGGCCTTGGCTTTACTGCTGACTTTGTTTGAATTGAATCTGAAGTTTGTTTATATTCTTAACTTATGTATCCATATACATTACAACACAACTATACGCCAAAAACTTTTGTTTGTTCGTACGATTGTCAAGGAGGAGCCTGAACTAATGAAGATTTGGCAGAAGAGGGGAAATATCCTCTTTTCTTACGTCCTCCACTGCCGATAGTCAACGCATCTGAAAATGAGAATATCTATGGACATTGATCACTTCGCTATTTTAGCGAATTCAGGTACCCGTTCGCTCATTTGCTCATTTGCTACCTTAAAACATAAAATCAATGAATACTGTCAAAGTACTGAACTATACAAGAAGAATACTTCTATACTTTTAAGCTTAAGTTACACAACTGTACTTTTAATACGTAGTTGAATTAAAATATTCCATGAAACATGATTCGATAGTTCATTGTCGTACACCGAGTGCTGTGATGTACTGTTGATATTGTTGTGACTGGACACGCGACACGTACATCAACGTTCTACGTCCATTAGTATCGTCCATACATATGTCACTTGCTAACATACTATCATTGTCTAATGGTGCACTTATATCTATAATAATTCTATTTATTTTCATATGCATATAAAAGTACGTATAAATAACCAAAACGTATTTTAGTTGTTCGTTTCACATTTCGTCATTGACACGGTTCATGTGCGCTTATCATATGAATTTAATTAACAAGTAAAAATTAGGTGAATGAAGAAAAAATCGACTATTAAAGAAATTCGATATTTAATAGTTAGCATGTACACTTACACTTTTTCATTACATAAATACCATAAGTTCGGCGTGTTACTATAAAATACTCTGTAACAGTTAAAAGAGCACGGCCATTGCTGAATTCCTAGTAGAGATATTATTAGCATAACGAAGAGAAGAGAAGACTTCAATTAATTTAGCCTAACTAACAAATAACATATCCAATTTATTAAAACGTTAAAGTTAGTCGCACAAAGTATACACCGAAGGGAGACTATTTCCGAGTCGTTCGCCGGAATTCAGTTTCGTATGGTTTGTACTTGTCATTGACATCGCATATATCGATATAATTAGTGTGGCCCTAGCCCGGCGGGCGGAGGGGGGCGGGCGGCGGGAACAGCTGTCCAGCGACCGGCGACCGGCGACTGGCGACCGAGGACTGACGACTGACGACTGACGACCAGCGACCACGACACGACCAACCCCAGTCGAAGTCCGTCAGTGAAACGCTTCGCACGTCCGCATCCACAAATGCCGCGTTTCCGCACCCGCGTTAAACTCAAGTGATTAAATATTATTTTATTAATCACCACAAAACAAATGGGATAAAAAAGACAATTAATAAAAGACAATAATTTTTATTAATGTGATATAGATTTTTTTATCAGTAAAATATAATTTTGCTTTCGTGTGATATTAGTTTGTAATTTAGTTAAATTTAATTAGAGTTTAGTGGATATTTGGACGGCTTATATAGTGTTGTGGCAGCCGTGAAGATGGAAGAACAAGCAGGTATGTATTTTATTATTGTATGCATAATGTTAAATACAAATTATACAATACGTCCTAAACAGTCCTAGAAAACGAGAAAAAATATGTAAAGATACCCTAAAAGGCAGCTGTTAATTAAGTATGATCAGCGAGTAAGAAACTTTTGGACGATGACAATGTACAAATTGAACATCACACAAAGACGATAAATATAGCACTTGTAATGAGAAAAACATTAAAATATTAATTAAATGGAATTGTTAGTAAAACATCTGAGAATTAAAAGTAATTGTGAACAAAGTAGGGTATCAATTTTGAGGGTAGTTATTGAAGTGAGTTATTGTCATTATCGTGAAGCTGCCAACTCAACTGATAGCACTTTAAATTTATTGTGTAATAAATTGTAAACACATCGAGAATCCCAACAGAATCTGAACAATGAGTGTTGGATACTTTTTTACGCAATTTCATTACGAATCATTCGTTTGATAACTTTCTTTCTCGCTGTATGGTTTGCAATATTTAATACTAATTTATAGTAAAATTGTTGGAATTAAATTAAGAAAAAGAAGGTCATAAATTGAATTATGTAAGTAATAAATCACGATAGTCTATTTGTAGGGTAGATTAACATTATTTTTGAGATGAACCTATTTTATTACGATTTAAAATACCTATAAGATTAAAAACTCATAATGAGAAAAAACTTTTACAATTTTACTTATATGAAATTCTAATAATTGCAAGAAATGTTGAAGTCGCATTGTTGCGCAAATAAAACAGAGTTAAGTGAATAACTTCACTTATCAAAGTTCAAAGTCGCCGACCTGAAGCAACAAGTGCTCGCTGGAGCTTTCGTTACATGACAACTTCAGTGAGTCGTTCATTTGCTCAAATATGTTATTAATATCTGATTTTTTTCAATAATGGTTGATTTTGACATTTTTGTACAGCTTCTGCGGATTAAACAAAATTATTTATCGAAAAATAAATATTTAAAAAGGCAGAAAAACTTTATAAGCATATTTTTATTTTAATTGGGACTCAAATCGCTGGGAAAGTAACAGGGAGATATCGAATATTCTAGATCGTTCTTAGTTAAGATGTTTAACTGCGCGATATTGATTCATATGTTAGGGAGATGACGGGCGGCTGCGTCTTAACTGGAGCGTGTTGTCGGGGCAAGGTGAGACGTCATCATACTCATTGCTTTCCGCAACTTCGTAGCCCACATCGTTTATTACTTTCCTAATTATTTTATGTGGAGCGGCTAATAGGTCACCGAGTGGGCGCCTGAATTACAGGCTGATCGTATTCTAATAGCCGAAAAAAATCCCACTCATGTGACGATAATTTTATAATTAGTTTATTTTAATTATTTTATCAGCTATTGAAATGTAATTGTCCTTGAGGCTAACAAACAATAAAAGAATTTAGTTCTAATGTGACATATAAAACTTTCAGGACTATCTTATTAAATTTATTAATATTAACTGTTGATAATTAAATCGTTCGTTTTAATTCTAAAAATGTTTAATTTCATGATACAATGTAATTGTTTGCAACAAATGAATTTCAAGTGGAATAGGTGAGCTTGTCGGCGAATATGTCTCGTTAGATTAAGATAAAAGGCAATTACTGTAAACATGGTGTCGATCACCCGGCGCACCCCCCCTCCCCCTCCCCCCTGCCCTCCACCTTCCCCCTCGGATCGATGATAGCCGCCTAAAGTCAGCGGTTCATCCACACTACACAGTAACTTGACATTGTGACATAATTATATGTGTACAAAGATAAAGAAATCGTAAAAAAGTTATTAACGCTGTTCTAAATAATTAATTTCATCAATTTTATAACTCCTCAAAGATGCTATGGTCAAGCTAAATAATGGCTTCTAATCCTGACAGAGATTGTTATTCTTAATTATTTTACTTCAATTACTTACTACTACTACTACTACTACTACTACTACTACTACTACTACTTACTTAATACTTTGTTAATTTCACTTACAATGCACTGAATTTACTTACAGGCGTGAAGCAAACGTGAGGTGTTTTACACTAATTGCTTTGCACTTTATTTAAAGATATCGATATGTTACCCCTATACATGAAAAATCAGTCAATGGATGATGTATAATTTCACTGTGTATTTTTGAGTTGTTTTAATGATATGTGGTGTTTTGGTAGCTAAAATTCGATAATTTAATATTTAAACAAAGAAGAAAAAAAATAAAAGAAGCATTAAAACCAATAAATATTGATAGAATAAGGAAAAAATGTGACAACCAACCCCCGGTTCCTCGACGTTCAGAAGGTTAACACATGACTTACTTTCAAGGTCTTTCGTGATGGTCCAACCTATAACAAACAATATTACATACAAGTTTCCCCTTGTTTAGTATCCAAGTAATACTCGGAAATAGTTTATTTGAAACATTACGTCATTTTGTTAAATTCCATTGGAAATAATTAGTTTAGCAACGTGTTAGGAGATACGGAAGGTGTGTTTGTATGTACTCTTATGTTATTTGCGCTGCCAAATACGTCCCTGTGCCATTAACTATATTTATGAGGTGCTAACCGGCAGACAGACGCTCTTATTTTTTTTACGATTGCTCATTACAGATGTAAGAGAGTCGTAAATTTCAGATAGATAATAACACCACCATTTTATATTTCACTCGGACTTCTCATTAAGAAGTTAAAAACACCAAAGTATTTCCTACTTGAAATTTACTGTGTACTAGGATTACGGTATTTTATCGAAAAAGCGGGGGCGCCGTAAAAATCTCGCCCAGGGGCTGGAAATGCTGAAACTAGGCAGTGATCAGTAATTGTACCCACTTGGAATTAAAATAAAAAAAAACATGAGTTATAATTAAATAACATCTCAATATTTCACAACTGACAACTATAATGACCATATTTTCCCGTTAAGTTTGATAAAAATAAACAACTCGATAAGACTCTGTTATTGCGTGTTGAATGCAATGTTATTACACTACACACGTGTTTGCAATAATTCTTTTACTGATATGATTTCTTTGTTAATAAAACTCTTCAGTTACATACTTTGCGTCCATAATAAAGGAGAAAAAAAAGGAAAAATTTGCTTCAACAACTTTATTTATCTCGGAAAATGTCCTGCACAAAGCGTGGCTACAATATTCAACCCAAAACTGTTACCGCCGATTGATCTTCTCTAAGCTATGAACATTTTGTTTGTATTATATTTTGTTTTAAGACTTATAATACAAAAAAAAGTTTACATAATTAAAGCTGGTCTAAATAATAATAAATAAAAATATTGCTTTCTGAGACCAAAATCCCCTTTTAAAATATATTGTTTTCACTGTTTTTTCAAAGGTAACGGACAGGGATGACGATATGTTTTAAAGAGATTTTGACGTCATTAACCACCGGTAAAAACCCTCTTTTAAATAGATCACGCTGTGTATACATATGTTGAATGTGGGTGACCGCAGAAAGTTCTGGAAACACAAACATACACTCGGACAGTTCGGCGTAAGAAGTACGTACATAGGTATAAACAGTAACACGTGAAAGTGTACTCTTTGTTTAAGAATGATACGTAACACTTGTTGATCTACTCAGATCTTTACGTAACGCAGTTATTTTGATTATTAATTTATAAATAAACAATGGTGTCAAGGATGTCGCGTGACTCAGTATTCGATGTTCGTAGTTACACTATATATTGTCAAATAGATTCACTTTTAAAAAACTTTCTAATTAAACTATTATAATATTATAGCTGTCGTCCGCGACTCCGTTCGCCGGAAGTAAAAAAGTAATAAGTAGCCTATATGTTCAAGCCTTTAAATATAATTAATGTCTACTGAAATCTACTGAAAAAACACAAATTTATTACCTTCAATAGTTTAGACAGGCTACATGCATTCTTGAAGTTTTTGGCTCAAATTTTGAGACGATAATTCCACTTTCCTTCAAGACTGGAATAACCGAAAATCTGGAAACATGCCAATACATCCTAAAAAAGGAAGACTTGTTGATGCTATCAGTTATCAACATCACTTATCTGTTCAAGGAACGTTATATTCACTGCATTTTGTATGCTACTCACGTAACATACAGTATCACGCTAAACATCACTTTAGAAATTTAGCAAAAGAAATATGTGCAAAAAAGACTACCAACCAAAAGTCGGTAGATATTTTTTATTGTAATTAAAAACAAATCAATAACATACTATAATTATTAAAAAGGAAAGGCAAGAAAGGAGTAGACATATTTACCTACTGATTACTACAATTGGTGTTGGTATTCATTTGTCACAGTAATGTGTGGTTTACTCGCAGGTTAGTGTCTGACGTATCGGAATCGATCCCGTGGCTAATATTTCGTCTCAGGTGCGCTGGATGTGGAGTGTTCGCGTTATTGCGCGATAAGCGATGTCGGATATAGATACCGTTCGGGGCCGCGCGATGTCAGCGCCTTGCGTCTCTCTCTTATCACAATTCGATCTATACAAATTGATTGTAATCGCTAAATAATCATACTTATTACGTAGCACTTCGTAGACCTTTGCCGTAGAAACATCGTTTCTTAAGGCTACGTAAAAGCGAGGTTTTGTTGTGCTTACAATATTGTTTGGTAAGTACAATGTTAGACATAATAAAAAAGAAATTTAATGATGTTAACATTTCAACCTAAATAGTTTGTGTTAATTTTTTATAATGACAGATAATAAACTGAATACAAAGCCATCATAGATCATAATAAATGAAATAGTTTCGACTTAATTGTCGTAGATAGTAGTGCAAGGCTGTATGACGTCAGCTCTCCCCCAGTACCCTCCCCCGCGGCGATCAGTCCCTTCCATAATCTTTTATGTTGCGGTGATAGTGACATGGCGGACTGTAAAACTTATGACGTCGTTACGACCACGCCTCTGAACTATACGACACGCAAAGGTCACAAGAATAAGGGTGGGTTACTTAAAATCTCTTCAATGACATCGTTATAAAAGACAATCGGTATAAAATAGATGCGTAAACTTCATTCAAGCCCCGCAATAACAAACATTTATATTTATTTATCCTTCATTAGTTTAACTCGACGTCTGGGAAGATTTTGCATGAAAGATTCGTGGAAGATTTGCAGTCAGACGTTCATTAAGATAACTTTGGTCCACTACAAAAATCTAGCTCGGTTCGGACTTATCCGGCGCTAACCGGCTCGCACCGGTTACATCCGGACATTATGAAGGCTGCTCCTGCCATGATTAGCCGCTGGATCGCCAACAATTAAAGTTGATTGGTGTTGATGTACAGAGAGATTAACATCAAAGAATCCAGCGCAGACAATTGTTAGGCGTTTGTTTTGTGGGAGGCCTTTGAACTTATTTATGTCTTTATACTGTGTCTTTCTTTATCTTTTTTTAGTTTATTATGGCATGCCGTACGAAACAATTAAGTACTTACCTATCTTTGGGTTAAAATAAAGCAAATTACTATTATAATATTATATTTTACTAGAACTCAATGGAATGAGGCAAATTTTTAGGAAGTTATGTGAACGTGCGATGGTTCAATATTACTGAAACTTGATTACGCGAAATGACCTTTTTAATATTTACTTGGCTACTTTTTCCTGTTGACTAGTTGGCTATCTTTTGTATTGTCTTATTTGTATCATTGTTATAGTTAAAGAAGTAAATGTAAGAGCTTATAAATGTAATAGAGGTATGGTAGCAAACAATACAAGCAACCAGAGTCGCCGCGCCGCTCTCCGCCCGCCGGACAGCGTCAGAAATAACTCGTCACCGCGTAGACATAACATCTCGCCGCTGCTCCAGCTTTGTTTTCAAACAATCAGACTGACGGACTTTGCTTGCCGTTTGATATATCCCTTTCAACTTGGTCCATACATATAAATTTTGTCTTGTCATATAAACCATGTCATTTGACGCACCATGTTTCCATGTTTTCGCATAAAGTAGTTTGCAATTTTTTTTTAGTAATTAAGCAGTGATAATTACTTTAAACTATTATATTATTATATTAGATCCTCCTTGTGGTATCCCATCTTATAACTCAGAATTAGAATCTATATAGTAACCAACCATTAAGAATGTAATAACCATGACAGATCCGGAATTTCGTATACTTTTTTCCTATAAGCGTTCATTTGCTGTTAAATCCTTGTCCTGTTTAATATCTCGTAATAATACAAAGCAATAAGTAATCAAATTATATCGATAGATAGATAGATAGATAGGTATATTTAGACAATGTCAATTGTATGTAAGACCTAATGATAAATCAGGTTCAACAAGTGTAAATTAGTTATCAATGTGTACCGCGCACGTCCTCGTCTTTATTACCTTCGCAATTGATCGTCGAATCAAGCTGATGGAATACCGGTTATTTCCGGTACGGTCGAATCCGTACCGGTTACTCGGTTTTAGGTACGATGCAACTATAGTCGGGTTTCAATTCGACACCCATCTCAAATTGTTTGGTTTTAACTCGATGTTTGTCAACCTCACTCATTCTGGTTTTCACACGAAAGTACATGATCTAGATGTGTCAATTTCTTTGTCAATTGTTGATTCATTTTTGTTTACTATTACAGTGATTAAAGTATCTTCTTTCTGAATGTTATCGTAAACATGTTCATACATTAGTCATTCATTATTTTAACAGTTTTCAGGTTTTCAGTAAACACATTTGTTACTTTTAAGAGCCAAATGATATAAATATGACATTCTCATATTTATTTATTTATAAATGCATAAAATAATTTTAATTTGTTATTTACTTACGTTTGGGTGTTTTATCAATAATTTGGTTTTGACGCAGTTTATTCCAGTTACTTGTACATACACTTCTTATTTTAATATTATAGAGATTTGATTGTAGACTAAAGATTTCTGTTTTTTTTTACATTATATTATTATATAGCATCACCTCGAGTTGAATTGTGTCATTACTGAATATTTCATCCATTCCATTATTTTGTAAGTTTTAATCTTTATGATATCACACAGGTGAATCAACGGTATAGTTATAGTATTATCCAAAAACAACATTAATTAGGTACTCTTAATGCCGGAAGTGTTCGTTAGGAGCTAAGTGTTTCAATTGACTTAAGATATGCAGTAGATTACATTAGTCAGATGCAGGATGCAAAGGTTCCCCGGGTCAGACGCCCCCGCAACTATTTATCGAACTGTTCCAAATTTTACTTTTATATACTAATCATCGTATGTACTCGTTCACGGGGATGGTATGCATCTGTAACTTTAATTTTAAATCAGTAGTTGTCATAGTAAACAGAGTCTTTATAACTTACTCATTTTTATTTAATGAAAAACTAGCTCACTTAGATAAGCTGACAATATAAGTATTTAATAATGAAGAATGTATTTGATTGTGATTGCCGTGGTGTGTCGGTAGTTCGGCACTCGCGTGTCGACTCTTGGCAAAGGACTGATCTATTTATGTTATTGTTGGCAGAGATCAAGGAGCGGCTGCAGAGGGCGCCGTTCGAGACCGCGCTTCATCATGCTGGTTTGTATACAGTATTACATAATACACATTCTTTATATCAATATACTTATGTTCACACTGGCGAAACATTAACACATGTATTCAATCTTTTCTGTGTAAAGTAACAGTAATGCGGACTCAAAAAAACTTGTGTTACAAGATGCATGAATTGCGTGACCTCTTCTAAACTTATTAAAATTATTAAATACATACTATAATTTGTACATGAACTTGTTAATAAAGTATAAAATTATACTTGTAGTAATTGTAAGTGTTGTTTTGTTTAGAACAAACATGTTTGCTCATTGTTTCGGAACAGCGCTTATAAAAACACATCACATGAAATCTATTTGCATAAAAATTATAATTAATTTAACAGAAATTATGCATTTCAAAGAAACATTAACAATATACATATTATGTAAAATTTATTTAATTATATCATAAGAAAATTAACTCGATGCACTGAAGAAAATCAAGATATATCAATATTGAATAACCCTAATATTTTTTTTCATGAAAAGTATACTGTAAAAGACTGGTCGTAACTTGAAACTGTCCTTAAGTAAGATATATCTATAAGCATTGACGTATACTTTATATCATTGTTGTTTAATGTAACAACATAAAAAGATTTTCTCTCAGCCTGTACTCTCTCATTTAAGACGTAAAGCTAACGCGAAACCTTTGTTGTTCGCAAACGCGTAAAGATCTGAAGACGTGTAATTGTTTTTAAATCGCCCTGCGTCATAATGTAAAAGCACATTTGTTTTGCAAAAGAATTTTGAGCTTTTTACTGTTAATTATTAGTTTTGGTTGCATACATTAATCAAACTTGAAATCCTCGCGATATACAACGAAAGAAAATGAGTTGCAATTTGGGAACAATTTTCTTTTCACTCTCCGAAAGTGTGGGAAAAAATGTGTGGCTATTATTATTTACTTCGCACTTTAATTATTTAGCTAATAATAGATTTAGAAACAATGAATGGATTATAATTGTTTGTTTGAGCGCGGGGGGAGATTGGGGGAGGTGCGCGGGGCGCGGTGTGTTCGTTGGGCGAAGGTCAATCCAATGTCATTACCGAGCTATTCCCCTGTAGGCTTTTAGCTAACGAAGGGCGTCGTGCGAGGGCGTGCAGCGATGGTCGGGGTGCGGGCGGGGTGCGGGCGGGGACAGGCCCGGCCTCGGCACCGATCTGTGTCAGCCTGTGTCAACATTGTTACCACCTATAATTTATGTTTCACCGTCTTAGGAAATTTGACAACACATCGACTCACCCACTTGACATTTAAAGTACGCATAGTACGTCTAACTTACCTGGCCCGGTAAAAGAGGGGCTGTTATCGCTGTTAGTTATGACAGAAATTATTTAAGCTAACCGAAACATAGAAAATGGATCAAGGCAGACAGCAACTATCCGACAAGGATCTTGTGTCTGTGTGACATCGATACTGAGTCACTAATGAGTTATTGTAATTTAGATTCACTTCTGCAAACCAGGTCAGATAAATTTGTTCCACTATAGCAATGTTTTGAAAACAGTAAAACCTGAAAATGAGTATGATAGCTAAAATCAACATTGCTACGTCGTCATTCTCATCGCATCTGCCGAATAAAACTTATTATCAAGGCAAGCAAAATTTTCTACAAACATTGTCGTCTATTGCGCTACAAATAAGCTTAAAAAATTAAACTTTCCATGGTTTTACACAAATGTGTGATAAAATGCATTGATTAACAATATACCTGTGCATTTGCATGCTACGGGTATTTCCCTAACCAAGCGGGCTTCCCCAGTTCAAAGCAAGGGTTCAATACGTGTCCACCCTGCCGGCGCCATGAGATACTAATATTGTCACGTATTCGATTTGGTTTGTACAAACTGATACGTCGTTATTAAAAATACACATTAGGACCCGGGGAGGTATTCCTGAATCGATTGTTTGACTTTTTTGTATAACATTTATCCAAAAACGATCAACATTCCTATTTTACGCAATAATTTATTGTTTGTATTCATTCATTTTATCTTTACATGCCTGTTTATTCCTTCTGTTAAACGATAGATTGATATAATACCTGAATGTTGTCAATAACAATTGTAATACCAGCTTATATTTATACCGACTTTTATTACATGTTCTGTGAATTCTCTTTTATAAATCAACATGACATTGTTTACAACATTATTTGGGTTCCGTTCGCTGTTTTTATATACAGGATAAAAAAATACCTTTAAAAAATATATCGGTGGATATACAGAAGCATGACAAACTAAGGAATATGTGAAAATATCACTCAAACGAAGCTTTTCTTAGCTTTTCCGATTTTTTCATTTTCAATTCTTGTATTTAATAGTCATTTTATTCAAGAAATAATTTATAACCAAAGTACATTTTCATAAATCAATATTAATAATTTCAATACCGAATAATTTTTCCCGACTTTCCATTGCCAACATAATAATAGATTGACCACAGACAATTAAACGTTGACTTGTGTACATTAGTTAGACGCGCTCTTTTAAACTATGCTGTTTAAAATAGAACAAACTGTTTTTCCGATGAAAGAATAGCAAGGATAAATAACTTTCCTCGTAACAAATGATTTAGGGAACATAATGTTAAGGTTAGTAGACTCGAGTAAAAATCGTTTTTCGCAACTTGTTTAACAGGTATTTATAATTTATGAAATCATTTTAAAAATATGGTTATCTTCTAATATGATATAAGAACACCTACGAGTTTTTTTTAGCAATGTTGCTATTGTGTAAATTGTTCGTAGTTCTTTAGTAGTGTAATATTCTTCTGGAATTATATTATAGTATTTAATTATTATTATATTAAATACAATTTATATTAAAAATTGTGATATTATGAAAATATTGAATCTGTTGTATAAAATGCAAAATGATTTGTTTAAAATTGGAACACTTTTGTTTAGAATAATTTCAAACTTCCGTCGTAACTTCCATTGTGAGTGTTTTGTAATCAACAAAACAAGAAACAAGAACTTTGTGTTTAAAATGTAACAATAATTAGTAGTATTTGTAACAGTTGTATTTTGTTTCTAATAAAATGTTTATTACCACACTATTGTGGACTGCTAGAGTGCGCTGATTGTCTGTTATGTTCAAAGACAAAACTGCAACATCACGTAGATGAAAATATTATAAATTTCTTTTATATTTTATAATGTACTTGAATAAAAAATTGCATTAAATCACTTTAATGGTTACATTTCGCAAGGTTTCTTTCATTATTTGCGTTAACGTTCGCCAAATAATTTATTTAAAACAAAGAAATTGCTGCTCGACGACTCGCGGTCATTGAACCCCGATGTATTTTGAGAAAATAAAGTAGGCAAATGTTGGCGGCACTGACATTCGTTACGCGCGATAATTTATGTCAATAAAATTATTTTTTTTATAATTTTTGAATTACTTCGACATCGAAATAAACAGCCAGTGAGTCGCGTAGAAAGAATAACCAGGATGTTATTATTATTATTATTATTGTTCTGTAATTCATGTACCCATTAATTTGTATCTAATATCAAAAACCTAAATGTTTTGAACCTTTAACTTAACAAAAAGGACTTAAGATGATTGCAAATAAGTATTTATTTAACCAAGTATTATAAAAATATACATACATAACCTGAAGTGTACATATATTCGAGTTCCTTTTAAATAAAACCCTTTGAGAAGTTCAATTTATATTAGGTGTAACGTCACTTGATGGCCGCCTTCATAAAGCGTCGGCAATAAACTCGACGGTTTAATGTAAGGGAACAAATAAACACATGCGTCTGCCGACACCGTTATGAGCCAGTGATCATTGCGCAATGATTTAGGAAATTTCCTACCAAACAGACATATTAAAGCAAGCACTATTAATAGACAAGGTTTACAACTTGCATCTTCGAAACGAATGTTAAGATCAAGATCAAGGTTTATCAAACAATGAACTTACAATAAAAAGGTTACCTGGCTTTATTAGTCCTTGTATGTAAATGTCAAATTACACCCCTTTAATGAATTTGTTACATCTTATTTCATACAAGATTTCATTACACATTCAAGCTGTTTCGCAGACTTTTTGCTAAACTTTTTAGTTCTCATAAATTTTATTCAGCAAGTTTTTAATTAATACTATTGATTATTTTGATGAAACTCTTGTTACTAGTTCTAGTTCACGTGCGCAGCCAGGTCACGAGCGATAGCGGACCACAAACACTTCTCTCGCTGCCAATTAATTTGGGGCACAAAACATACACTGATTGCGATTATTAGTCACGGATTCATTTAATTTGAGGAAATAAACTTTAAATAAAATTCAAATTAACAAATAGTTAAGTATTTATATGTTTTCCGCTGGCGCTTTTAATACACACAACACTAATTTGCCGAGAATTAGAAGGTTGTTGGTAAATACTGACACGGTCCGGTCCGACCTAACGCCGGACGATCGCAAATAGATATAGACAATGGAATCGTGCCCTTGTTCCGGATAATGTCCGCGTAACGGAATTTGATTACGTAGGACACTCTACAAAATAACCAAACAGCAAACTAAACGTCAAATGCAAGTGAAACTTCATATAATTTACTACATAACTAGTCCTCCTTGAAAATATAATAATATATTTATTTATGTATTAGAGGATAATATAATACAATAAACAACAAATCTGTTATTACGATAGTGACATAGTACAAGCCCTTGTAAGACTTTCCGTACTTTGTAACTTATAATAATTCTCCTGCCCTATTATATTTGACGTAAACACTGCGCACTCAGCCCGGACTTTGTCGTCGCCGGTGTGCGATGGTGGCGCGGTGCGGGGGTGTGGGGCGAAGTCCCGGAGACGGAAATAGAGCGTCGCGTGGGCAATGGAAATAGTTCCCGAGTTCGATTATCACACTGAGATTTGTTGGTAATTGACTTGTTTTTGTTTTTCTGAACATAACACTGGCTGCTGGCTAATTTTAACACTAAATGCTCTTATATTATCATCATTGTTTCAGCTAACAGCTTTTATTTTGAACTTTAAGATTTTGTCAAAGATGTATATTTTTTACAATTTAGTTACGAAAATATATTTATTGATTTGCGTGCGTAAGAATCAAAACGAATGGGTCTTAAATATATGTATTGTTAGTCAGATGTTTTGATTTGTATGTTTGACATATATATGTAAGGTGAGTTTAGCCGGAGTGTGAGTGTGAAGTAGCGAGCGAGCGAGCGAGCGAGCGATGCACTGCGCTGATTGAACTAAAGTGATCTCAATATCAATTCAATGAATACTATTTAAAAATAAAACTTAAAAGTCGCGACGTCGACGTGCCAATAATATTCTAACAATAAATTATAGTGAACTAATCATTCCGACACGACCGACGCTAAAAGGTTAGAATTTTAGGGCTAAAGTTTTGCTACCTAATTGTGCAGCGCCATCTCTTGTTAAAGAATGAAACAATATGTAAATAAACAATATTCATTTTTAAATGTTTTTTAAAATTTAAATGCACACTTTCGATTATTTTTAATTGACTCGTCACGTAAATTATAAAATACTATGTGTTTCCCGCTACATACGAGGTCTACCGCATTCTGTTGAAGTAATAACATTTCTCTATAAAAACTTTCACTCCAATGTTTAGACCTTTAGATATAGTTGTAGGTATAGTCAGAAGGATTAGTGTAAATTTGGTCGCGGTGAGTCGGCGCCGTGCTCACGATTAATAGGATATTGCAGTGTGGAGTTAGGACGGCAAATCTCATTAGTGCCAGCTCTGCCGGACTATCGATCACCCGGAACAAGAGACGCCATGTCGGACTTGAAGGTCACACACAGTTATATGTACTTACAATACAATAATTATTTATTACTTAACTTTTAGTTTAGTCCGTACCGCAGTTAGTACATTGTTTACTTTAACAACTAAAAATCGCAGTGTTGTAATACAATAATCGATCAATAGATGGCGCTTATAAAACAAATGCAACAGTAATTAAATGATTTAAGTTAATTAGATTAATTAATAACAACGCAATATTATATATAAAAAGATAATTATTTAAGTATTTAATAATTTCGATGAAATACCAGGCCGTCGAGAATAACTTGATCAAATCAAATAAAATAAAAAGTAACTACGAGAAATTTAGGCGCGAAGAAAATTACAAGATATGACAACGGAATTTATTGTACTCATGAAAACTATTGTAAATAGTTTAGAACAACTAACAAAGCAGATTTATAAAACAGATAGTACTAGTTTACATTTATAAACACTGAACATATTAAATTGCTGTACTTTAAAGGTTTAATAAGGTTTTCCAACGGCGTATGAAAGCAGTATTAACTTTGTGTTGTTGCGCAGGCTATGGCTGGTTCCAGTGGCTGCTGCTGGGGTCGTGCGGTGCTGTGTACGCGGTGTGTGCGCTCAGCACAACCACGCTCAGCTTCGTCTTACCTGCTGCAGAGTGTGACTTCATGCTCTCATCCTCAGATAAAGGACGCCTCACCGCCACACCGCTCATTGGTCAGTACACGCTACCTACCATACTGCTAACAACATTACTATGGTTTTAGACAATCGAATTACTTCTTTAAAATATATAGTCGCCCCCTTTCATTCTCTTTCAAAAACAGAGACGACAATACATGATGCATGCTAAAATTATAAATCTATCATTTCTTGTGGATCTCGCATACATAAACTTATTCTAATTTATATATTTATTATATACTATATGATATATAAATTTTACCGAGATTTGTTCCATGTCATGAAAGTAATACAAAGTAGTAGATATTTTCTTTATAAATTAAGGACACAGATACAAAGGGTGTATGTGTACCCTGTTGGACACTTTACGCACTAACTATACTACATTAAATATAAATCCTCTTCGACAAGACAATTATCACTTTGCTATCAATAAGAATGCACCGGATGTCCCGGGGGGTAACGGGGGCGGGGGTGAGGACATCCCGTAGCGCGTCTAGACACATTGCCGAGGTGACGTAATGGGCTGCGTATTTTATAACAATACTTCTCCATATTCTAGAGATAACGCAATAAGATCCGCCTCTAGTATACATGTGTACTTAGATTGTATAGTTCATTCTTTTACTTCGACTTTTGCAATTCTTTTAAATCCATTAAACAAACTTTACGATGACGTTATTTCACAGTCATGACTCATTGATGTTGAAGTTAATATGGAATTCCGGCGGCCTAATCCATGTACTAAAACTAAGTTTGTTCTGTTTTTTAAAGAGTATATGACACTATGTTTTAAAGAAGTGTTGCCGCAGTGGAAAATCTCAGTATAATTAATAAAAGTGTTGTTACAGGCATGTGCGTGGGCTCGTACTTCTGGGGCAACCTGGCGGACGCGCGCGGTCGCAAGAAGGCAATCGTAGGCGCGCTGCTTCTCGACGCCTGCGCAGCATTCCTCTCCAGCGTTGTGCAGTCCTTCCCCGCCTTCCTAGCTTGCAGGTGAACTACTGTTACTATAACATTTCAAAAGTAGATGTTTTCAACAGCAGTGCAAACAATACTTCCACCACACTCAAAATTTGGAGTGATGGTGGTAAACGTGGAAAAAAAAACTTTTACTTTTACAGGTTTTTCTCCGGGTTTGGTATAATTGGTGCAACGGGACTGATCTTCCCGTACTTCGGGGATTTCCTATCGCTGCGGCACAGGGACGTGATGCTGTGCAGGCTCGAAGTCTTCTGGACCATTGGGACTATATTGTTGCCAGGTGAGGACAAAAAGAGTTACGTTACTTGTAAGATCCCGATGAAAAAAAGAACATGCCATTAGTACGAAACATTAAAGAGAAGAAAATTGATGGAGAAGGGAGGCCCAGGAGCACTAGCCCTCGGCAGTTCGTATGGGAGTGTAGTCAGTGCAAACATACTCATAATTAAAAAAAATAATTTCAGGCATAGCGTGGCTGATCATCCAAGACCCGCGTTTCAACCTGACGGCGATGGACGCGGACTTTCAGTACAAGTCGTGGCGCGTGTTCGTGGCGGCGTGCGGCCTGCCCAGCCTGCTGGTCGTGCTTCTGCTGATGCCCTTCCCCGAGAGCCCGCGCTACCTGCTGCACGCCAACAAGCCCGAGCAGGCGCTCGTCGTGCTGCAGCGGATCTTCAGGGTCAACACAAAGCTGGAAGAGAAAGATTTCCCCGTAAGTAGCACTTCGTCGTTTGAATTTCTGAAATTGCAGTTCCTTATGAATCTAAACTAAAAACATACCGTTATTGGTCATCGCTACGCCGTAGCAGTATGCTACGGGCTATGCAAGCTCACTTGAATAGAAGTATGGAACCTTATGTACCGCTGAATAAGTACAGTGCAATTGTGGTCTACTGATACTCTTAGTTTTTAAGAATCTACGAGGAGTGCGGCAAATCATCTGTTGTTTCATCATCAGCAATAGTCGGATATAAAAATGTGTCTTGGTTCATGAAAAGCTTTCTGTTCAGGTGGAGTCGATGATGTGCGCTGGTGAGGAGGGCGAGGAGGAGGAGGTGGTGTCGGCGGACACGAACGGCAACGAGACGAAGGCGCCGCTGACCTGGTCCGCGCGCTGGCACGCATTCTGGTTGCGCAAGAAGCTGCTCGTCACTCCGCCGTACATCGGCCTGCTCGTGCTCTGCTGCTTCGTCGACTTCGGCCTCATGTTCAGGTAACACCACTTACATATACAATTCATATGGAAAGCTTCATATTTCACACTATTCTATGAGGTCTTATTCCCACATTTTGATTATAATAATTATTTTTCTATAATTTTGTATATTGATAATTTTGTTATTTAAAGTTACTACACGCTGATGATGTGGTTCCCGGACCTGTTCGAGCGCTTCAGTCAGTTCTCGTCGCTGTACCCGGGCGTGTCCGCTGGAGTCTGCGAGGTCTCCGCCAACGTCTCCCGCAGCGAGATAGACGTCAGTTCCACACCAGACTCTTTAATTTCAACTTTGATTAAATATAATCATACTGACCGAGTTGTGTGTACGGCAGGGTCGGCCGGACTGCCCGCAGGTGATAGACGACAAGGTGTACATCCACACGCTGATCGTGGCGCTGAGCTGCCTCCCCACCGCGCTCTGGGTCGGACTCACCATCAACATGGTCGGCAAGAAGCTCATGCTAGGTCAGCGCACGCTCTCTCCCTATGCTTCATCACTCGCACATTAGTGAAGTCATGATAATAATGAGGATGTATTTGTGCAGTGATGATGCTGATCAGCTCCGGTCTGGCGGCGCTGGGGCTGAACCTGGTGCGCTCCTCGCTGGAGAACCTGCTGCTCTCGTGCGTCTTCGAGGCCATCGTCAGCTGCACGGAGGCCGTACTCTTCTGTGTCATTTGTGAAATATTTCCTACGAAAGTCGCGTGAGTAGCGCCATTCTGACTTCTGTATACAAATAAATAAAGAACGAGTAGTGAGAAGTGTTTGTGAGATGTTTGTGAGATGTTTATGTTGCAGCGCGACCGCGATGGCGGTGACGGTGATGAGTGGTCGCGTGGGCGCCATCGTGGGCAACGTGGTGTTCGGCGCACTCGTCGACCAGTACTGCATCGTGCCTATCTACATGTTCGGCTCTCTGCTCATATGTTAGTACAAACTTACAGTAACATTTAAATAACTTTCCTATACTCATACAATTATCCGATTAAAAAATAAAAATAAATCCTCATTGTGTGACAATGCTGTTGAAACAGCGGGGGTTTTACATAATTGTTGTTCCTCACCAACTACCATGTTCCACATGTTCCCATTTTTTAATCTAGATTATGTTTACCATGAAGAAGTACGTGTCAATCAATCTAAGAAAGTGAATGTGTTGATAATATGTGAGTGAGTGACACTGTATTTGTTGCAGCGAGCGGGATGCTGTGTATAATCCTTCCGAAGAGCACGCGACCGGAGCGGCCGCAGTGAAATTTTATCTATTTTTATATCAATACTTAATATTAATTTAATTAATATAGTCTTACAATGTTTAAGTATCATTTGATTGTTTTATTTAACACCTGTCTCATGTTCATGTACTACTCCTTGGTTTCATTGAAGCAAGTTATTTTGCCGCTCTTTTTACCGCAGGCGTTTTTACGATCTTATAATATTTTATCATATAAATTAACATCTATATGTACTGTATCTATATGTAAGATAAAGTTAAGGAGTACCTTAGTACAGATTTAACATACTAAATCAAAACTAGGGGTCTCAATTAGTGGCTATTACACACCATTTAAAAAATAAGCGAAGGTTTGCGATAAAGTTTTAACTATAGGTATTTATGTTATTATATTTTTTGTATATTAACGATTTATACTTGATTTATAAGTATAGATAGTACACAAGGAATTTAATAAACCGGCTGCTATGGTAATCATTAATGTAAAGGTGTGAAACTCTACAGTGAGATGTTAAATGAAGTTAAACAAAGTCACTTACTTCGTTATAAATGCGGTTCAGTTGAGCAACACACGATTTAATCATCTACAAATAAGAAAAGACATTTATGTTATATTTAATTTACATTAGACATGACAAAGTGATAATTTAATCTAACATCCTTTATCTAAACGAGTCTCGCTTTTGTAGGCTTTGTACTGTTGTATATCTGACATAGATTTTTATTATATCCACGAGAGGCCTTTCATTTTTTATATTTACAAACAAGATTATTTACACTGGTTACATTTGGATTTACAACGGACACGCGCTCTAACAGACTGCAATGCATGGTTAAAAACAAACTAGTGGATTTTATTATTAACATTTTTTTTTATATTTTGTGACGTGTAAAAGAAACGAAAACAATATATTTTTATAGTCAGTATTATATTATTATTTAATTTTTTTTTTGTCACAGTGGCCAGTGACAGTAAAGTAAATTGTTTAAACGACTTTAAAGCTGGTCAACTGTTTTAATTTTTGTAGATATTCATATCGCCATTTTTAGGCTCGTTAGCTTCAGTTTGAAACCTAATTTAAGCGAAATACGAGTCTTATTTACATACAAGACTGGCTTCGTTCGTTATTTGGTATTCAGTTTACACGTGACGAGACACGTGTCCACGCGAAATATTGACGAAACTTTAAATGAAACCTTGGGAATTTTATACTCACAGTTAACACGGCAGAAAAAATATAAATTTTTTGTAAGGAAGTATCGCATTTGTGTTTTGATCAATACGTAAATTATACTACAGCCGTGGTCGGCAATTTTCTTAGCGAGATTCAGATAAATGGAAAAAATGAGTTTTAAAAATGTAAAAAAATAATACTGTAATTTTTTTTAATAATATATTTAAGATTTTTTTGTTGATTGTTGAACGAGTTGACGGTGTATTGAAAAGAAAGGCTGTTCTGATACATGAAGAGTTATAAAAATTATGAGAGATGAATATAAAAGATAATTAGTCCAAAATAGGAAGGTGAGGATGTTGCGTGATGGGAGTTGTGTAAGGGTGCGCGGCGGCGGGCGAAGTCTGAAAGGTTCCCCCGCATGTCCCGCTCGCCGGCGGTGTAATAGTACTAAACAATTAAGATCTACTTTATCGGATAATCCTTCCCCAGTTCGAAAGCTACGCTTTATACCAACCCGGACTCTCAGTTATTGGAATGCAGCATGACGTACCTACTTATGGGGACAATCACCTTAACGTATCGAATCGAAGTATTACGTCAACAGTCTATTTAATTTCGTATCCGTAAACGTGTTAATAAGGTTTTTTTTACTACACTTTGCAAAAATTATTCATTATTTATTCAAGAAAATATTCATTATTTATAAAAAACTACAAAACACAAAATAACCACGCTCAAGGGCAGCAAGTAGTCATTGATAAAAACATTAAACCTACTATGTAAATATAGACTGACGCAAAAACTCCAACAACCTTCGAGTGACACACTTACTGTTTGTTACAAGAATTGTTATCAATTCATTACAAAAACTGCGACAAAGAAAAGCCATTGAACACATGTCGCGTGACAGTCTTACCTCAACCACACATCTCTTGATATCAACACAACAATCCAAACCCATACTGAATCAGTACTGCCACCGTGTCGTGGCGGACTGGCCGTATACTACGAATTATTACTTAAAAATGACTAATTCTTCAAAATAAAAAATAAAAAACAAATCAATTAGAGATTCATTTTTTTATTTTTATTTTTTTGTTTAATTGCGGCCAGTGTTTCTTTTAGAAATGTTTACGAAAAACGAAAACATGGGTATAGACAATAATAGTTATGTGAAATCTGAGGATGTGGAGATGAGCAACAAGGGTCATGTCAGCAAATCGGCCGGCAAGGTCAGCTACGAGGAGGCTTTGGATTTGACAGGTGAGTTTCATTCATATTTAACTTATTGTTCTACTTTTAAAATACTGGCCGTAACTATTCATTTAAGTACAACATTCTCAATGTTATCGAAATAATAAAAAAAAGAATTTTAAGTGAAAAGTAATTTTTTCCAGACAAAAAATGCGTCACCAAATCCGCATCGAATGATGGAAAAAGTACAGTTTGTTATTAAACAAATTCATCGCATTGTAATGTTTACATTACAAACTTGTTTTCTAACTTTTCCGCGCGCGGTTCGCTTGCTTTTTAGTTCTGCATACTTTTAAATTGATTCCGTATTCATATACTTTCTATAATGTTAAAATAATTTTACATACTAAGTATTTTAAAGACCACCAAAGTATTAAAGTATCTCTAAGTATATTACTTAGTATTTATTTGATGTTTCGTAATATAACGCTAATGATTTCCTTTTTTGTTAAATTTTATATTGTATTGTATTTCTTGAGACAAACGTTCAAAGACGAACGATTCATAAAAATGAGGATAACTAAAATACTTAAAATGACCTCGTAACTCTTAAATGGTAATGATGTGAATTTGAAGACAACGTGATGACTGAAGGATGACATGAGGAAACTTGTTTGTTTAAGAATTGTAATAAAAGGCCTGCTGTATACATATACATATTTTACAAATCTAGCATAACCATTATTCTAACCTTTGCTACTAATCTGTAGTAGCGTCAATTTTTAAGATAAATATTAGCCTTGGCTTAGATTGACGGCTCCACTTTAAGCCTCGAAAGATAGTCGTCAGAACAAACTATTCATATAACAAATAAATTGCTTTAAGATGTTAATTCTGTGCTTTTTAAAATTCACATAATGCGGAGACACGTGTGACTCGTGTGATATTAATCGCTCGTAGCTTTTTAGTAACGTCATAAAATGATTGCGGCTGAAATTTCTCTTGATCAATAAAAATGCAACGTTTCAAACCAGTAATAAAATTAAAATATATAATAATATAAATTTATATAATAGTTTGAGCATCTGAAACTCGGCACTACATTGGTCATATAATATATGTATTAGAAAAAGAACTAAATTAGTAGACTATGTGTTCTTCCAAAGTTCTACATCGAGATCTGTCGAGCTGCTCTGGAGATACCTTCTAACAAACATCCATCCCGACATTCGCATTAATAATATTATTAAGATTTATGACAATAACCGGGGGCAATGTGTTCCAGGTCACGGGCGGTATAACTACGGCCTGCTGTTTGCTTGCTTCATGATAATCATAGCTATGGGCATCGACATCTTCGGTCTGGGCATCATCGCGACAGCCGCCACATGCGACCTGCAGATGACCATCAAGGAGATCGGAGTATTGTCCTCTATGCCTTTCGCAGGTTACATGCAAATATTTAACAGTTTTATTAATAGTTTTAAGTCAACAAAATCTTGATTCTTCTAAAATTCAAACTTTAAGATGAACGACGTACATAATTTTGGATGAAATAACCTAATTAAGTAAATAAAAATTGATATAGAAAAAGAAAACTTATTTTAAACAGCCTAAGATTAAAAAAGACTCTACATTAAAATATAAAGAGATACGAAGTAATCCGTTTAATAAAAGAATTATAAAAATGAGCAAAGTGTGGAATGGCACGACAGTGTCAAGGCCCCTCCTCAGCCGTGGCCGTGTCGCCACAGCGGAGCAACGCAACGTTGCGAATTATTTACATGAACATTAACACACAAATAAACAACTTAACAGATAACCTCTTCAGTTGTTTAGTAAGTTATGTATTTCATGCTTTAAGTTATTCGAATTATCAATGGCTACATTTTTGCTTTTTAGTCTTGAAATCATTTAAAAGCAACAAATATATTTGTGTTCTTTTGTTGCGTAAAAAATCTAAGATGAAGTCGCAATATTTCACGTTTCTTAAACACAATATTTATTATAATTCAAATATTTTTTTATATACATCTTTGTTGTATTTACATTACTTTTCTACGGATACTATAATCTATAGGCTAAGAGATTTTAAGATCGACAAGTGCTCAGAGCCGGCGCAGCGGTCGATAACATTCTGCGATCTGTTATCAGTTTGTGGTGACATTTTTAAGTCAATTTTGCTGTTAGATTACGCGATGTAGGCTTTGTGTTTGTTTAGAATTTTTTGCATTTGGATTCTAAAGTATTTTTTTAATGTAACTAGATTTTCGTAGGTGTTAGTACATTTAATATAAATATATTTTCTGACACATAGTTCTACATTAATTTAATTTTACATATATATTATCGAAAGTTTGATCAAAGCGAAAAGAATTAGAGCTCCGCGCCTAGAAAAAAATGCAAAAACGTGATAAAGTTATTTCGTAAGTTTATTACGTTGTGTCAGAGACCAAAACTCGTGCCATGCCAAAGACACGTGCACGTGTCTACTAATTAACATAGTCGTATAGTACAATATCCTGTATAAATCTAGATTTATTTTTATGCCATGATTATTTAAACAAATTACAAATATTGATCCTCGAATCTTTCGGAGATTTAGTCACTCGTCTCAGACAACAGTTACTAATTACAGTTGTAACTAATTAACCGTTGGTTTCTTAAGGCCAAATCTGTATAAAATGAGGATAGTCATCCCGGTCATTATCCTTGATAAACTAGTAATAACAATATTTTTTAAAGGACATGATGGTTTCAGAAGTCCACGGTAAGCATTACATACACGCGTGTAATGTTTGAATTTGTGTTTATAGGTATAATAGTGATGTCATATCCTTGGGGCTACCTGTCGGATACGCGCGGGCGCAAGCTGGTGCTCATGTACGCTATGTGCGGCAGCTTCATAAGTGCCGCGCTCAGCAGTCTGGCACCCAGCTGGCAGGTGCTCGCGGCGTTGCGGTTCATCAGCTCGGCCATGTAAGTGTTGCTATACCAACACACCTGGAACTGCTGTATCGCCAGCTCGCTTGACACATCTTCACAGCTAAGCATTTATAAATAGATTTTCATACGTTACACAAATAAAGTAAATATTGCAATTGTGAAATTAACAATGAAGTTGGTTATACTGTAGCGCAAAAATAGCAAAGTTTTTGCAGTTATCTGACAATCGTTAAGTTTTTCTTTACAATCGAACTTGTTTCCAGTTAAAATAAGTGTAACAAATTCTTTATTTTTATTTATTCCAACAGCAAATTGTTAAATTATGAAAACATCAAAAAATTTAACGCTTGTGGAGCGAGCAGTGTACGCGGATAGCGAAGATAATTTGACTAAAGGCGTCTTGTAAATAACAAATGATCTATTAATTAGTATTCTAACTGTCGCGTTTGTTACTTGTACAACGTTAATTTTAAAGCCCAAAAACATAGTCGGAAACTGTAGTAGAATTGAAACTACATCATCAAAAGCTGATAAATGATTTCTAGTTGTCAATGTATCTATACATCAACTAAACTAAACCGGTTCTTTGTTTCATTTGAACGGTAATACCGCGAGTTTCCACTACCGATATTAAATATCATATTACCATCTCCCTCATTGTCTATGAAAGACCAGTGATAGCGATATGTTTTTGTATAAGTGTTACGACAATGAAAATCCCCGGCTCGTGCGCGACATCTCACTCGACATCCCCTGGTCAATTCAGATAAGATTACACTAGTGTTGATACAGACACGTCTCGTTGTCTATATCATCGCGACATGCGATTATATCTTCATTGTTTTTATTCTAGATATTAGACTGTGCTATTTAGATAAATTCGGCAGCATCTAGCTTACTTGTCTTGTTTATAATCAATGATTACACTTGATAGAATGAACTAATATAAGTTGCAGAATTTGATCGATTTATAGATATTAATTTCACTTTTCTCTCGATAAGATGCTACAGATTAACTAATTTTAAATTCATCGAATTTATATGTCGCAAAAAACAACAACGATATTCCAACGATATACACTTAAATTGTTATACATATTCATTTATTTTCTTAATTTAATTGTAAAACATTTTATAACAAAAGATGTTGTTATTGTTAGTGTCGTTGTTATACAAATGTGGACGTAATATCTAGTAATAGTGTTCAAAATAAAAGCAACACTTATATAACTTTACACAAAATATATACAAAACACTACGATATAAGAAATATAAGTAATTTAAAGACAACACTGTTCTCCGCTCATTGTTAAAACTCGCTCTTGATTCGACTGAAAAATAACAAAACACTGCCCGATAAAATAAAGAAATAAAATCTCACGGCGCCACTATGTGCTTTTTACTTTTTTAGTGGCGCCCTCTAACTTAATGTCATCGAATTACGCTTAGACAAATAGTATTAAGAGAATATTTACGTCATTGTTGTGGGCGCAGGTCGAGTGCGGCGGAGTCTGCGACATACGCGTTGCTGGGCGAGTGCTGTAACTCGCGCTCCCGAGCACGATACATGCTGCTCATGACCAGTGCTCTCATGCTCACACCCACACTGTACTACAGTACGTACCGCTCACTACACATATCTATTTCTCAACCCTTTTACCCTGTCTACGACGATATTTACTTACTTATTTGGTGGAAACTCTTTAAGAAACAACATCAACAAAACTTACGCTCATAACCCAGGCAGGTATCGTGTGTGTGTACAGACTTCCAATTGATGCAGTCCTGGCACACCTTGATCTATTCCGTATTCATTACTAATGCACGCGCGTTGGTTTCGCTTGCTCTTAATAGCGTACTTTATTAAGAAGTTTTAAGTTTTACAGTTTAAGACTTCGCCCTAGAAAAAGGTAAACAGCTAAATATGGAAAAGAAATCATGTTTGTCATATTAACAATATGACTAAACATGAACTATATTTAGTGGCAAATAGAGTACTAACTCTAGATACTTTATTTTAGTATGGGGCTACTTCATCACCAAGTTGGACTTCTCTATCCCCCTGCTGGGCATAGTCTACCGTCCGTGGCGGCTGCTGACGCTGGTGATGGCCCTACCCCTGGGTATCGGCGCCCTGCTGCTGTACTTCTTCAGCGAGAGCCCCAAGTTCCTGGCAAACGTGGGCCGCAGCCAGGAAGCTGTTGACGCGCTGAAGAGGATTTACGTGGGCAATGGCGGCAAACCAGAAAATTTCCCAGTAAGTGTACAATATCGACAAAAACACTGGTTGTATCACATATTTGTGTTCTTCTGTTAATAGGAAAACGCATAAGCTCGATATATTGATATATATATATATATATTGATATCCGTTTGGTGGTATTTTGTGGCTATGGAGTGTAGCAGTGGTGTAATGCAGGTGCGGGAGATCTACCTGGAGGAGGGCAGCAAGGAAGCGGTGCCCGAGTTCTCGCTCCACTCGCTATGGACGCAGATCGCGCCTCTCTTCCAGCCGCCGCTGCTGTGGCGCACACTGCTCCTCTACTACCTCACATTCGTCATTTACATCGCGTAGGTATTATTTTACCGAGATATTTGCGAGTTAAGTTGGTAAAAACTATTCAAGGAATCTAATAACTTAATATTTTGCTCATATAGTGTACTTCCTGCTTTCATAACATATCTAATGACCAATATTATTTGCTTCAGTAACAATAGTTTCGCAATCATCCTGCCGACGATCCTGAACGTGTTCTTCACATCGTATGCGAGCAGCAGCGCCGGTGCAGGCTTCTGCGACCTCTTCCGCATGGCCGGCGAAGACAACACCACTGTGCTCGCCGGACACGACAGAATTAGCGTGGCGAAGGTTACCAAGTTTATCTCAAAACCAAACAAACAAACCGATAATAACTAAATACATTGTATAATAACATTACAGTACCTGAGAGTTTGCTTCTTTGTCCTTTAATGACAGCTGTATGTTTGCAGGAGGGTTCTGAATGTTCGGGCAGCATCGAGGACAACACTATCTGGGCGGGCTGCGCGCACGGCCTATCCTTCTTCCTACTCAATGCGCTAATCTCGCAGTGCGCCGGCAGGCGGAAGGTACCGCACAAGCTTGCCCTTTATATTGAATATAAAACCCGTAGAATGTAGTTAACATTTACATAAATGAAATTAGTCTCTAATGGTCAGCCTAAATAGGTGATCAATTCTCTTAATCACAAATCAATGGCTAGTTGCAGTGCCTGTCAGTAGTGATGAATATCTTATATAATGTGAGATGTTGATGATGAACTTATAGAAGAAGGAAATGTCCTGCTAATATATGGCAATATGTATCATAAGATTATATCGATAGGTGCTGTCAATCAGCATCTTGCTGGTGGCGGCGGCGGCGGCGTTCGTGATCGACAACACGGGCGAGGCCATCTCCGGTCTGATCTTCTTCTACATCTTCCTCACCACCGCCATGGTCTTCGGCGTCGTTTCCTCATACTTTGTTGATCTTTATCCTACGTCTTACAGGTAATAAGTTTTTTTATTTGTATTGTTACCCTGAGTGCGCTAGTCGTAGGCCGAGTACAGTGGGTTTTATGTTTTTAAAATACCAAATTGTTAATATAGATAAGTAAGTAATAAATTACTTTCCAAAGAGACCATAGCTTCCGAAAACATCTGCGCTACGGCTGTGTTAATTAGAGCGTTATCCTATTACAAATATGAAATTTATGACAGAGGCATGGTGGCGTGCCTCGGCATGATGGTGGCTCGGCTGAGCGCCTTCGCCGGCACCAACCTCATCAGCAGCAACATGACTGAACACTGTTCAGTCGCTATATACAGCATCGCGGGACTTGTTATCAGTGAGTACTGAAAACAATATAAATAATCATATCTTTTGATAAATCTTTAACAAATACATTTATTATATATATATATATTTACGAAGCGAAACGAAATCATAAAAAATTATATAAAATTTCAAATAAACCATGTGTTTTTTTTTAATTGACATTGAAATTATTAATTTGCATCTGCTTATCCAATGTCAATTTCATAGTCGCTTGTGAAAAAAATTATTTAACGTTCGTAATTACTTAAATATAGAATTAATCACAATATGATTACAATTAACGTGGGAAAACATAGAATTGTTCTTATGCCATTAATATCTCTAAACTCTTACATAAATATACCATTTACATAAATGAGATCATTATGTACTCTTGTACTTTTGTACGATTTATTAAATAAAGCAATAAAACATTTTTCAGTGGATCGAAAGATATTTTAACATGAACAAATAAGGTGGTAAGGGGAAGAGGACTAAAATTTGTCCTCCGGCACGCACACACGTCATATGAAACGCGAATGTTATCTACTTCACTTCTGTCTTCTGAGTGATCGCGGCATTACGACGGCCGAACTGGCCATTCATGCCTCACCAGATACCGGATAGTCCATATCTGGCATCTGCTAGATACTTGTTACTAGATGGATCTTTGTTAGAAGGTATTTCCAGAACGGCTGCAAATTTGGCACAGATGTAAGACATAATCTGGAAGAACGCATAGGCTACTAATTAAGTTTTGTTTATTTCACGCGGACGGAGTTGCGAGCGACAGCTAGTGTTGAAATGTAATTAATTATTATGTTAATCATCATCTCTCTTAACAATATTACAACTTTAGCGCGGGCAACAGACTCTCATACAAAAAGCAACAAAAAAAAATTGCTATCTCACGATCTTATATGAACTTAATTATAATTTTAGAATTGTATTGTGTTTCATATTTTTTATTTCCAGCGTAAGCAATTATTCTTTAAATTTATTTATCAGAATTGTGTAAACACTAAATCACAAGCACTTAAGGTTTTATTTTATGTGTCCGCCACTTTTTTGTAAAAATTGGTGCTTTGTTGTAAAATCCTGTGCAAGAAATATGAATTTTCTTTTCATTATGTACAGACATTACAATTTTATATTAACTGTATAGATAAATTGATCGCCTCTGGAATAATATATACGGAAACAAAACTTGATTAAAGTTTGGATCTTGACTTCACTTGACTACTAACGCCATCTTACGACACAACTTTAAGAAGTAACTTTTTTAATTTTAAGATAAAAGCCAACAACGTGTACTTCCCTACATGTGAGGCTGAGTCTGGAAATCGGATTATATATATTATATATGTGTTTGTTTGTTATTAATATATATGTTTGTACAACTTGTTTCCTTCGTCGATAGCATAATATTGTAGTTTTTATTTATATATAAAGATACAGATTAAATAATATTTTCGGCAAAAAGTACTACAATCAGACAATATCCACTACATTTGTTTTTGTGTCATTTTATTATTGTTCTCACAGATAATGTTGGTAATAAAATGCAAATAATAATTTTCTAATTTGCAATTATTTTTTTCCAGGTGGCGCTGTAGCCGCGGCGCTGTTGCCCGTCGGCGCCCTCTAGCGGCATTTGTATTTATTATATTTTAATGTTAATTATCTTGTATCATATTATTAAATGTTTAAGAATATAAGTTTTTGTTTTGATTTTATTTCACACATCTTTGTACATTGAAAGACATGAATAACGGTATACAACAGATTCCTTGGTCGAACAAATATGACGACTTAACTTACTTCTATGCAAAGTTTTGATAAGTTTGGGCTCTAGAGCTTTAAAAAATATATCGAGTTCTCGAAAACAAGAGTATCACAGTTAAATTCAATTTGCAAGCAACTTTACAATCATTGTCTATTTTTAGATGGATTAAATCTTCATCTAACATAATTCGTATTTTAACATTTAATTTTTTTTATGTATCGCTATGCGTAGAATAATAACGCTATGGAAATGTATCCAAGTAGTTAAGCATTAGCTGTAAATATTAATAATAATTAAATCCAAATGACTGCATGTAATTTAGTGGACAAAAAAATCATATTTCGTACACGTGATGTATTTGCATTGCTGATAAGTAAAAACTAATTTTTAATATCTTTTATCTGTCTGTCTGTCTGTCTGTCTGTCGTGAAGGTTGATGAAGCTGTTGATCGGTGGTATATCCTAGACTATTTTTTTAAATTCTGCTCTGACCTGTTATTTTGACGTAAAGTAGTGTGTCACATGGCACCATCTGCGCGGCGCAACATTAATTAAAATAATTACCACATACGCGTACGCTATTTTTTTTAAATGCCCCTGAAAGTTCAGTCATTTCTGTTTAAAAATAATATTCCGTTGTAATAAGCCGAGTTAAAAGGAAAATTCCAATGCTTTGAGCTGTTCAATGTTCATATTAAGGTCTGTAGTGCGCTCTCACTGACCTCTGCTGCTAGGGATATCCCAGCGACATTTGCTCAAGTGGTTTGACTTATGAAGGTTGTGTTGATTTCATTTTTAAATCCACTTCCGTAATTCCTGACCTATCGGGAATATTACAAAATAAGCATAAATACTTTGGATATCTTGTAATAGAAATACGATCTGTGCTCGAATAACTGTAAAGTCCTGATGCAGAAGAGAACCCCTGCACCTGCTTGTGTTAACGCACTCATTTGTCATATAGAAGTGTTACAATTGCAATATTTCCCCTTTACCTCGATGTCCACTTCCTCGACGTCAGTATTGTATCATTTAAAAATAACGGAAATGAGCTGAGAGACGGGAATTTTAAAAGTAAATAAAGTAAAAGAACAACGAATTTCGATGTTTTTTACGGTTTGTGAATCATCCGCAATAAAATCTTTTATTGTTTATGATGATATTTATTACACAAGGATATTTTGTGAGGTCGTACTGCGGTATAGTTCTTATGTTAATGCACCTGTTAACTTGTGATCCGCAAGCTTTGCTAATTAAATATATTTCGGCGTCTTATTACCGCGTAATTTTGGCTCAAAAATTGAAAGATATTATGTTTCTGTGAAGTTTACCAATTCGCACTAGGTCAGCGTCTTCTCTTGTTTTAGTTTATCTCCGACCCACTCAGTGGGGACATATTATGAGCTGTCGATGTGTTGATTTTGTGGCCAGATCGTGAATTGGCCACTTTGTGATGCAGCGAATTCATGAAATATCCATCTGAAATTGGCTGTATAGCTATCGACATTAGTTTTAAGCATCGTAATGTAAAGCTTACATGATTATCAAATTTAAAGCTACTTGACTTTAACATAAAAGTATTGCTAAGTTTTGTGTATTTATGACGTTTTACTACATTTTTAACTTAAGTTGGCACATTTTAATTAGGTTATTTTATGACGTGAATGTGTGAAAGGAGCAGCCATTGAGAAGTGGCTAATTCGTAGATCTGGCAACGACACCAGCGTGACCGTGAGCGTGAACCTGAGCGTGCCGGTGTGAGGTCAGCGGGCAGGCGCTGCAGGGCGGCAGTGTAGTGTTGACTGCCACAAGGGATGTAACGCGGTCTGCTACACATCACATTTAAGATCAAACAAATAATTATTAAGTTCAGTAGTTAAGTTATCTTTTAACAAAGTGTTGTTCCGTAAGCAAATATTAATTTGTTAGTGTGGTAAGTAATATGTTATGTTTAATATCTTTAATAATTAATTTTATAAAATTAAGTTGCTTTTCGTGACCTGTGTTTGGCTCCTATGTTCTGCTAAGCCATGAAATTTATTAAAATACATTATTTACCATCAAGTGGGTTATTTATTTCGGATGGTTTGTGTATATATTTAATTTATATTAGAGTTTAGTATATATGAATAAACAGCGTATTTCTAAATCCCTTAAAATTTGCCTTTTTCACTTACGCTGGCGCCGCCGATAGACCTATATAAAAATTATGTAAGACAGAACTGTAGATCTCAAAAAGTTCGACTTAATAAAACTGTGTATATTAAAACCGTAAGGTAGCGTATTAAATTGGGATAATTTAATTTATTTTAAACTTGTCTTTATAAATATATAATTCTGGTAAATAATTTAGAAGATATCACGATCACAAGCAATAAGCGGAACCGAGAAATAAGCTCGTGTGTCCGTTATTGAGAATTAATTAATATAAGAAGATATTCAAATAATTTGGAAAGGGTACTGACATTACAGGAAAGAGATCAGACGTATATTCTTTACCAGACAGGTGAAGCCGGGTTGGTTCGATATTATTTTAATTAAAGCAAATATTTATTCCGCATTTTTTTACTTCATTTTATTTAAATAAAATTAAGTGTTAAATTACAAATAAGTAAAACAATTCAAATTTGTTTTAAATCTCACGCCGCTTCAACCATATATAATTATTAATTTTACTTCGACATATCAACAAATATTTAACCTATGATCCATGTTTTCATTGAAACATAAACATTTTATTTATGTACATAAAACAAATATGATAAACATTTCACTTAAAGTTAATTTAAAATAAATTAATTTGCTCTGACATAAATTATTTTATAATTACACGACCAATGTCGCTGGCTGACATGACATTGCTGACATGACATGGCTGCAGTCGCCTCTCATAGTCATTACAAATTACCTTACAATTTCTTATAATAAATACAATCGTGACTTATATCAAACACGATATCCACAATATCAACTTACAGTGGGTTTCTGAGACCAAAATTCTCGTTTAAAACATATTATTATCTCTGTTATGTCGAAGATAATGATAGCGAAGACTATTAAAGAGTTTTTGATCTAAGAAACCAACGATTAGTGATATTGTGCAATACGTGTATACACAGATATAATAGAATAAACATTAATTTCGATGTGTTATTAAATATTAACAGATTATTGTAATCAATTCAATTAAGCTCAAAGTTTGTACTAGAATATAGTTCATGATAATAGTCGTATGGAGATCGAACCTACGATCGTGTGATAGATCGTCCGTACCTTTTAACCAATGGGTTTTTGGCACTTCAAAAGGTCTGTTCCGGTTTAAGCAATGTTTTACTGCTTAATTAGGGAGATATAATGTAAACATATAACTTTTCAACGTCAATTGCGTAATGGTTGAGTGTACGGATTTCCGATCACGAGGTCAAGGGATCCAATCCCGCCATTCTGCAGAAGCATAGAACTTATTTGGAAATTATACATGAAACATTAGTAAATTAACAAAAATATCTGCTAATAATATACAAAGCAAAAAAAAGAACTTCTCGGTAATCACGATTTTTTTGTTTGTTATTAAAGCACTAGTTAAGCAATACCTAAGTTTTTTTCTTCGTGTCTACTCAGAGTGTAATTTTAAAACTTTAATTATATTTTTGGAAAACATTATATTATACAATCTGCTGTGAGTTTTTACTGCAGTGACAAATATAGACATATTATTGTTTCACTTTTCTACTAACAAAATGTGAGGGATAACAATATATAAGAATGTACGCTGCTGTGGAAACACTTATTACATAAGTATAATAACATTGTTGCCAGTAAATAAAATAACCAAAACTAATACTTGGCAAAACTACTGAATGTCACCTTGACCTTGACATATGCTTTTAACCCATAACTAACAAAATAAATGGAAAATAACTTTAGTGAAGGAAATTTTGTGCCAACTTTGAACCGATAGAAATACTTTTTGCTCACAACAAATTCTATGCGATGACAATTGAAACACACATGAATATTTATATCTTACTAATATTATTAAAGCGAATTTTTGGTTGTATGGTTGTTTAGTACACGGTATCTCCAGTACGGCTGCAATCTCGCAGAAATTTGGCAACGATGTAGAACATAGTCTGGAGGAACACATAGACATAGTTAAGTTTTTTTTTTCAATACCGCGCGTACAAAGTCACGTGAAAGCTAATATTTAATATATTTTTATGTAGTAATTATATTTTTTACACAAAGGACACGATTTTAATTGGCATGTTGACGTACTAACGCACTTTGACATTGATGAGTACTGCGAGGAAACGCGGAAGACGAGCTCGCTACGAGGTCCAGGGCCTTAAGGTAAATTGTCAGGGAAAATCAAAAGAAACAGATTATCACAGACTATTAAGATATATGAATTATATTGATAAATCAGTATAAGCATTATAGATAAAGAAAGAGTTAACTTTTTTTAGTCTAGCTTTTACAAAATTTTTTGCAATGCAATCAAATCATCATATACCAAAATCTCGGTTTAAAACAAATTTTTACCTCAGTATTGTCAAAGATAATGACAGGGATGACGATATATTTGATACAGAGATTTAGGTCTCAGAAATCCTCAGTAAGTGATTTGGAATAATAAATAAATTCAAACATATGGACCTTGTTGCTTACATACAGATCTGCTAGAAGCCTCTTGTAGACATGCGCCTTATCATGTGCAGATGTCGCTCGATTTCTATATTTATAACAGTAATATTGAATAGCGTGTAATATATAAATCTACATCTATCCATTTATGGCGTATGAGGAAAAAGGTCAAATGAGAAGTAAACTTGTGACCTACATAGATGTAATGTCAAGAGGAAAGCAATAATTGTTACAATGTATGTATGTGTGCGTGTGATAATCTATTTATCACCGCTGCTGTTGCATGGGAGGTTATCAACTGACATATATATATATATATATATATATATATATGTATATGTCGCACGTGTTCTAATATTTTATATAAAAAGAAATAACTACCTATGTGTCCGACTTTTAATGATTGCAAAACAATGTGGATGTTTTTTTGTTCAAACAATTATTATAAAATACAAAAGAGAATATTACCTTAAGAATTTAATTTACCTAAAATACTTATAACATAATTTTTAAATTACGATGTATGTACTTGTAATAAATTCAAATAGACATATAATAAAGTTCATATAAAAGAAGGAAGAATTAAAGAACATCATACACGAAGTTCATTAAATAAATTAATTCATGAATATAAATTCATTGTTAATTTCTAAAAAAAATAAGACAATAAGCCTACTAAAGCCGCTGATTGAAATTTTCCGAAAAGGAAGCAATTTAATTGATGACATCAAATACCGTGCGACCGCAGCCAGAGATTTGGGGTAGATTTTTTATATTATTATTAATTAATTCATTTATTTTGTAGTGGTTAGTTATTTAGTAAGATTATATTTTAATTTATAATTAGGTTAATTATATATTGTTATATTTTGTTCTATTATATGCAATTATTTTAAGTTATGAGGTATAATCACTAATTAGAGTAATATTGCTGATTTCGTACATATTTTCTTTATAATTCACTACTCGCTATATGTTGTACGAAATAATTTTACTACATGCGTTGTCAATCATTTGTGAACCTGTCCAGTGAGTTGTAGATTACAATTGCATTGTCACAATGTTAAGGTCGTCCATCATCCGCTAAATAATTAAAATCTCGTTGACCTGACCATCTGACGAAAAGATTTTAATTATTTCCGATTCCGTAAATTGGGAAGTTCGAATAACCGTCGTCTCTCATCATATGTTATTACGTACCAATTTCTAGGACATGCAATAATTCGAATGTCCTAGAAATTGCTATTGTCTAAGTTTTATGTAAAATATTTCAAATTAGTTGAATTCACTATTGACATTTTTGATACAAGATATTTTCGATTCGACATGATTCTTATTTAATGCAGAAAAATTATTTCATGTACGTTTTGTTTATATAATTCAAGATATGTAAAACAAAAAACAAACATTGGGAATTGTTTTTATCAAAATAAACTTTTTGCAACTTAACCTCTTAATTTAACATTTTTAAATATTTTTTCTTATTCGAGGTTCGACATTTGCTCTTTCAATTATTTTAATTACACACATTAAGACAACAGAAACTATAAATATATTATTTAAAGAATAAACATGTTGGTTTAAAGTTAAAAACGGTACTTGAAGATTGCTGAATGATATCACACAGATCGGTGTATGTACACAAAAGGGGTAAATTATAAAAAACGGTTGCGAATTTTCGATTAGAATGACCAGGCCAGACACTTTGTGGGGTCATTGGCCGAGATTTATTATAACAAAATAAAATCAACGAGAATATAATTTATGTTTACAGTAACTGCGCACTGCAAGAAGTCACCGATAATTACAACAATTATCTTCATTGAATTAAATTATTGAACAAAGACGTTAAATAAATACAATGTTTGAATCCGAGGGTCAATGTTGTTACGTTAACACGCTCACCGCTATACCTCTGAAATTTCTCTTTGCTACGTGAAAATCATAGTGGCAGTGAAAGTGTTAATCAATGTCCCTGATTGCATTATAATAATTTATAATTTATATCTTAGCAATGAATACAAATGCATCAAAAGTGCTTACAATAATGTAACACACAACGCACGACTTAACTAATATAGTCACGATTATACAAACTTATAAGACAGTTTGTAAAATAATTTTAATAAAGTAATACCAATTGTTGTAAGAAAACAAGAGGATAATATTGAAAAAGAAAAACTCATCAGACCTCTACTTCATGAGACCTCAGGTAAAAGTTCTATTGACATCGAAGTAATTTTGTACATTGTTTTTTATGTCTAAAGATCACCACCGCTTTTAAAGAATAAACATAGCCGTCATTTTATTGGACAACGAACAAGACTCCGAAAGTTATCTACCAAATTTAAGCATGAAAAGAAATGAAATAAAAAACAAATATAATATAAACGGTATAAAAGAGCCAAGTTTTATCATTCATTATAACATTTCTTAACAACATTAAATTCAGATTATTTGTGACTATTTGTTTCGCAGCGTTTCCCTTCAAGAAATATTATAATGTTTGAATCTTGTAATATCTTTGTTTACAGCGTAATCCTAATAAAGCCGGTTACAGACGGTTGGTGTTAATCGCGAAATCCTATCAAACCAGTCCATCTAATCACTAAAACTAGAGCTGTTCAGCCAGCTTAAAGTGTTCGCAGTGTTGTCGCAATGGCGGCGGCCCAGTTTGCAGGACATTTATTGAATGTCTGCCTATTGAATTACAATTTTAAAACTTGGAAACCGATTGTCCCTGCTAATATACGACCACTAAATGTTACACATGAACATTGACGAACGATATTTATGCCTCAGCTGAACTGATACTGGCTGGGTCTAATGATAGACATCGTATTTACACAATCAAATAATGTCTCCAACTATAAACACAAATAATAATATGCCGCAACTAGGACCTCTTTGGTAAGTACCAAAGAGGTCACAACAACTTGTTTATATTGCATACATAATGCCTACTGTTTACGCTGCAACGTAATTGAGGAGTAAAACCACATCACTTATTAATTATTATTATTTAGACAAGGTTGACTGCAAGTTACTGGTATTATTTCTGACCTTTCTCCAATCACTCATAATACCACCCACCCACAAGCCTTGTAATCTACAACTTGGTGACCATCAATAAAATGTGTTTATAATCTTATATATATCTTAACTACATCTCCACAATTATATACAAAAAGGTTTGCAGGTGTGTCGGGTGAGGGCGCCAGTTACACTATTTAGTAAGCATATTAATGCCTGTTTCATCGATATCAAGCAGTTGTTCGGGTAGCGATTGTACTCGATTTCATCCATAAACGAAGTAGCTGCATCGTTGACATTTATGTACTAATTAAATTGTTAGATACGAGCAACAGAAGATGTTTTTCGATACTTGATATTCAATGCGATGATACCATTTGGTAGTCATATTGTAATATTACGTGACTTGAGATATCTTTTATTGTTTACACTCCATGTTGTTACAGTCTCGGGGTATGTCTGTCAGCTGGTGACACACCGGACGCTACGCTGAAATGAAACCCGCACAGAAATGCAACACCTTGACCAAAGCTAATAGAAGTCAGTATATATTTTAAAAAATTATTTTTATTAACCAGAAAATAATGTTACAATATAGCAACAGGAAAAGCATTCACCAACAAATAATATTATACAAACAGCTCTTTGATCGCATTTATGATTAAGTAAATATTAATAGAAAAACTTTGCAGAGAAGTTGGTGACGCGGTCGACGTTAGGTGTCGCCCTCGTCGCGCTCGCCGTCACCGCACTCGTCGTCGACCCTGTCGTACTCATCGCTAAATATGTACGTATTTATAAAAACTTTATTTACCATTCTTTCACCATTTCAAAACAAAATTCTGAAGAATAGCGCATTCAAGACCAAAACCTACCTAAGTCTCTTAATTCTTCGTAATTTATGCTATTATGCTAACGTCAGATTCATTTTTTGTATTATGAGTTTTTATTATTTATTTTTATACTCTGCATATATGCGCTAGTTAAATAATTCAAATTGATAAAAAATTGTGTCTTGCAGCAATTGAGAGTGACGCCCGGCACGGAGATGTACCGGATGCTGACGTCAGAGATAGAAGGCGCGTACGTCTCCGCCTACCTGTTCAACATCAGCAACGCGGAGGCCTTCCTCAGCGGCGCCGACAGCCGCCTGAGGGTGCACGAGGTCGGGCCCTTCACCTACCAGTGAGTTACAACAAACATGGCCACTTATTTTTTGTATTTTGTATAAAAGTCATAATAGGATAAAATTTTGTGAATCGGGTCATATAAAAATGGTTTCATATTCTGATAGAATTAATTGCTGTTATGTTGTTTGTAGAGAGAAGCGCTACAACACGCACTTCGAGGTGGACGAGAAGGCCCAAGTGTTGCGCTACCGACCCTTTATCAACGTCACCTTCATGCCGGAGATGTCGGTGGCGGAGCCCGCAGACGTCAACGTCACTGTCGGCAACACCGCACTGCTGGTAAATTACTGTAGTCAACAATGATAAATCTATTATTTTCCGTTATTGTAAATAGGAGAGAATGAGGCTAAAAACAATATGAATAAATGCAACACCTCGAATACCACAACCAAAACAAAGGTAAAGGCTAACGTAATACGTATCTTATTTCTACGAAGTCTTGGTGCTTTGAATAAGATTTTGTAAGTTGAAGTAGTTTAGGTATTCCTTATTCGCTAATTTAAATATAAGGGCAATAATTATTTTTTTTTATATCAAAAGGTGGCAAACGAGCGAGCAGCCACATGAAATCGTTGAAATAGCGAAGTCACTGCTGCCCATAGATATACGCAATTGCATTTGCGCTGCCTACCTTTAATCGACGGAGGAGAGGATGCACAGAAAGAAAATATCTTCCCTTTCCATGCATCCTCTCATCCGTAAAGTCCACTTCCACTTCCCATCCTTTCCTTATAAAGAAAAGGATGGGAAGGGAAAGAGGACTAAATTAGGCCTCCGGGACGCACACTCATCAGACGAAACGCGGAATTGCTTCCACTTCACGCCTGTCTTCTGTGTGGTCGTGGTATTTCACCGGGCGAGCCGGGCCAATTCGTGCGAAGATGTTAAAGCGGGCTCTACCACTTTTAAATGTAGTTAATTGTAAAATATGTTTCGCAGGCGATAGCTACAGCGATGTCATCGCATCCGTTCTGGAGCCAGCTCGCACTGAACCTGCTGACGCGGCGGTATAAGTCCCGCGCGGTGGTGACGCTGCCGGTACACGACCTGCTGTGGGGACACCACGAGCCGCTGCTCGCCTTCGGGCACAAACTCATGCCCGGCTGGATTAACTTCGAACAACTAGGCCTCCTCGACAGGGTACCGCTTGTTATTTTAATAAACACATAATGTTAGAAAGAAAATCCGATACCCTTATTAAATTGTCGACGTTTATGTCCTCTCACTAATCATTCTGAAACTGGACTTTGTAACAAAAGTGCGCCATTCGCGTCAAAGAATTCTAACTAATAAAGTCTAAAAATAGATAAACTAATAAATATGTATGTAATGAATGAGTCACGTCATACATAACAACTAGAGCATCATAGCTACTATCTTACGAGTTATGTAGCTTTTTTGGAACGTTTTTTATTAGTACATTGATCTTATGCTCTGGATATGTTATGGTTATGATGTTATCATATATACTGTTTGCAGCTGTACGACAACACGCGCGAGTACCAGCTGGAGCTGAGCCTAGAGGATCAAACCAAGTTCCAGGTGAGGCGAGTCAACGGCCACGCCGGACTCACCGCCTGGAGCTACAACGACCCCAACAAACGGTAACGCTCACCGCAGCCTCACTACACTATACGTCTACAATGATTTAGATAATCCAATCCTCAAAACTTACTATACTAATCCCCTATTACATAATATATGTTATGAACAGTTCTCGGTGCAACACATTCGTGGACGCGTACGAAGGGTTCTCATACCCGGCGGGGCTGACGCCGGAGCGGCCCATCCGGCTGTACCGCAACGTCTTCTGCCGCATGCTGGAGGTCGACTTCTCGGGCACCAAGACGCTGGACTACGGGCCCGAGCTCTACGTCTACAAGCTTAGCAACCGCACCTTCACCAAGAACCCCGACACCGAGTGCCTCTGCAGCGCCATCGGATGCAAAGATGGACTGTCCGACCTCTCACCCTGCTTTTATAGTAATGTTTCTCATATTCTTCAAATATTCTTTGTAAGAATAAATTGTAATTTAACACTTCTCTAACTCAATAATTAAGAAAAAACCTAGAAAATTACGATATAATGTTATTTCCTAAATATAACAAAAAGATTACACAATATTTTATCTCATTTCACTAACCAATAACATATCTCTGATAACTGGCATCAATATGGATATGTTTTCTTAAGTTTTAATTTTCCCGAAGGTCTGCCGGTGATGATGTCCAACGCGCATTTCTACGGCGCGCCGGCCGAGGTGTACGCACGCATCGACGGCATCGCGCCCGACGAGCAGAAACACGGCGGCGTCTTCGCCATCGACCAGGTCAGTAATATGTGCATGTTTTATATTTTATAAAAATATTTGCTACATTTTTTATGTAGCTTCATACAACAATAAACATCGAACGAATTTATGAGACTGGCAGTAGAAATCATTTATCTTTGTCTTTTGGTCGGTAACTTTTTTTAAAGCAACTGATGAACTTGCAGAAGCTGGGTTCCGCGCTGCAGACATCGATGACTTTCCAACTCAACGTGCCCGTGGCGGATGTCACCTACAACAAGGAGGCGCGATCCTTCGCCAACATCACCGTGCCCATCGCCTACTTTAAAGTGGTAAGATCATAACAAAGGTAAAATTTCAAAATAGTAATGTACAGGTCAATGGCCTCGACCTCTCAAAATCGCTAGCACAGCACAGATTAATCAATATTATTTTCTAAATTCTTCGTATGTGTTACTGACCTTATTTTAATTTATTTTACTTTACAGCAGCTGTAGAATTAGTTTATATCATATTTAGTATTATTTGTCTATTTTGGTTATACACGGAGAGTCAATTGACGTAGAGAAAGAAAACAAATAATTTGATCAGACGCAGCCCGAGGTGCCGGATCACGTGAAGACATTATTCTGGCTGGTGTACGTGTTGGGCCCGTACGCGGTGTACGCGGTGGCGGCTGGGCTGGCCGCGGCGGGGCTGGGCCTGCTGGCGACCGCCGCGTGCCTGCTGAGCACCCCGATGCCGCTCACCAAGCAGGCCATAGCGCGCGTGCAAGTGCACTGCGAGCTGCCCCTCATCAAACACGCACACAAACAGACACTCCTCAGTGACCGCGCGAGACAATATGACCGCGGAGAAACCGGTGTCCGTGAATAGTGACAAATAACACTTTAAATATAAATTTGTTTTATTGTGAATCGTAGTACTTTACCGAAGCTATAGCCTGGTGGTGTTCAATAATTGTGCTGTCGCCTTCCGCGCGATCTTTTGCTTTAAACATGATCATTTCAAAAGAATAAAGTCATTTGTAGCGGAATAAATCCATTACATTCGCGATTCCCTCCTGATATTTGAACGGTGCTGAGTATATCGTTAAGAACTGTAGTGATTTTTTATTATTAGTATTTTCATACAGGGTGATAATATGCTTAATATTAAATAGAACTTATGACGTGAATAATAGATTAAAATTAATTGTGTTTGTGTTTAATAAATTTATTTATTGTTATTAAAAATTAACATTATTAAAAAAATGATATTGTTATTCGGTCCGTATTATACAAGTCCGAGATTAAGTCCGGATTTAACCAAACACGATGTTACAGTGTGGGTTATAGTTACTCGCAAGTAAAGTTTGGTCCAACTCGCCGTAATAAACACAATCCATCCATTCCTTTATTTATTATCCACAAGGTATTTATAAATAAAAATACATAGAATTTCAAAATATATTAGAACAAAAATGCCAACATGTTTATTATATACATGTGACATATTCTTACATGTATACAGACATACTATACTGGAACATGTATACAACACTGTCAACACACAACTTTGTGCATTGTGCAAATATAAAGACGTCACTTTCAAAATATGATACTATTTAATTGTCTAATGACATTTTGTTAAATCATTTAGTCGTAAGGAAAGTTAATTTTTCATTATTTCTATCGTCACTGAAATTACAATAAATACCCGTTCTCTTATCTTATCTCCCACCACAATACATTAGAGGATTGTTTCATTTGACATCAATTGTATGGATATTTTATATTTTGTAGTTCATAAAGCTATTACTGACCTTACATGTTAGTTAACAAAGACATATGTTTCTTAAATCCATTATATTGTAACAAACAATAAGTAAACACACAACCCCCC